TGATAGCGATGTAGATCCCGTCCCCAGGCTCTATCACAGGGTCTGAGTCGGCTCAGGCTCATATCGACTGGCAGGATGTCAGGCAGCAGGACATGGTGACTTTCTGCTGTGTCCAGTCCACTTCAGGGTTGTGGTGCAGCAGCCATGAGTGTCCTATAATGAGGGACTGCCTCCCAAGGTTCGCGATGGTGAAGCAGGCCCACTCTGTGTGTCGCCCAAATGTCAAGAGGGCCTCTAGCTCCTCAGTTATGGCTCCGTTCTCATTTGGGGTTCCATCGATGTTGTGTACAGGGATGGGCTGGGGAAGTGGGGTCATCTCGAGCCCGTGTTTTCTGACAACCTCAGGGCTCACAAAGTTCCCTGTAGCTCCGGAATCTAGGAGCACTGACATGGAGATGGTGGTGAGGAAGGTTAAGGCGGTTAGCTTCACGGCAAGGTTGAGGGATCTGGGAGGCTGTTTGGACAACGCATAGATGGCAGGTGGCGGGGCCGCTACCTCCGGTGCTGTTTCTGGGGCTTCTCTGCCTTTGCTGGTTGAGGACGCAGCTCCCCTCTTCTTCTTGGTGATGACTTGGTGGAATTTAGATATCGGTGCTGGGTTAGGTGCCTCATGGTATCTACACGAGCTAGTACTATTGCTTGCAGGCAGCCGGGACACATCCCTCACTGGTTGCCTTCCTGAAAATCCTCCTGGGCCTCTGCTTCCTGCCCTTCTCCCCCTGTCTCTGGTTTGTCTACCAGCTGTCTCCTCAGCCCCTCCATGAGTGCCCTGAGGTCTTTGGGGTGCATCTGTCTGGCTTGGCAGGTTTTCGGTTGTGGGCAATCCCACGCAATGTGCCCTGGTGCATTGCAATTGTAACACAGCCCATTTCACCTCTGGTTGATCCTTGAGCAGTTGAGGTTTAAGGGCTGTGGCCCTGCTCCTGCCGCAGGGCGGGGAGCGGGGGGCTGGGGTGCAGCAGTGGTGGGTAGGGTGGTAGGGAGCGGGGGTCTCGCAGGCAAGAGTGGGGGCCTGGTGGGGGCCAAGCGGGGTTGCATCACCTGGAAACGCTGCCACTCATTGTTGAGGAGGGTGGCCTCATGTTTCCACTCGGCCCAGGTCGTTGGCATGGGGTGGAGGCGGTAAATGCTCTCACGGAGCCGGGAGTTGATTGCCTGCTCAAAGCGATCTACTAGCCCCACATCCCCTAGCCATGAGGCAGGTCCGAGGATCTCAGACTCCTGGATGATCTTATCCATGGAGTCACTGCCCTGCCACAGAGTGGCCAGCTTCTCTCTGGCTGTGGCCTCATGGTTCAGGTCCTGGAACATGGTGTCGAGTTCCATGTTGAACTCGTCCATGGTGAGCTGGGGGGAGCCCATGGTCAGTAGTGCGATGGTGCACTGAGTTGCCCACGCCCCTGCAGTCCCTCCTTTCATGTAGGACAGGACAAAGAGGATCTGGGAGAGGGCGTTGGGGAATTCCGCCACTCAGACATGGAAGTATATGCTGCATTCAGCCTTGAAGCGGTCAAGGTCTTCAGCTGCTCCAGAGAAGGCAGTGGGGGGGGGTGACTTTAGGCAGTTTAGGTCTGGGGGCGGGTGCGGGTGTTGGTGCAGGTGTCGGCGCCAGTGCAGGTGCGGCTGGGGGCTAGTTTTGAGCTTGACTCTCTATGATGGCCTGGAGCTCCTGGAATCGGGACAGCAGCTCATTGTACTGCTCTTCAGTGACCATGGCAGGGGAGGTGGGGGAGATGAGGTTGAAGCCTTCTTCTGCTGTCAGGGACAGCTCCGAAAGCAGCAAGGTCCCGGCATGTGGGACTTGGTGGGATGAGTAGCAGCTATGCGTAGCGGCAGTCCCATCACAGGGTGAGTGTCCCCGACCACTTAGTCTGAAGTGGGAATGTGAGAAGAAGGCTACTTCTTCGGTTCCCACTCCAGTATATACATGTGGGGTCGATCACATGGGGTGCACCATGTCACCCTCGCACACAGCCATGGCTCTCCGGGTGGCTCTGTGGGAGATCCTGAGAGGGTCCATTGTAGGTGCAAGGTGAGCGTGGCGGTGGTGGTGGTGATATAGGGATGGTAAGATACAAGAGGGGGAATGGGCATGCGTGCCGGTGATACATTGAACAGTGGGAAAGGTGGTCCATGTAAGAGAGAGAAAGAAGAAGAAAGAGGAAGGAAAGAGGAAAGGAAGAAGGTGCAGTGTGGAGCGGGGAAGCGGAGTGGGGGTCAGGTGGGGCATGTCGGGGTGTGCCCTGACACCCCTCTTACCTCTTCCTCCTGGAAGGAAACTCTGATGCCTCCAAGCACTCCAAGCCAAAAACCCACATTACCGCTCGCATTCAAGATGCCCACAGTTTTGTCCTGGATGGAAACTCCAATGCCTCCAAGCCCTCCGAGAAATTTGGCGCAGCAGTCAGCATCTGGTTTGTCCAGCCTATGGGGAAGGCTTGAGGATCAGATCTCAGACTCCAAGGCTGTCAGTGAGCATGTCATCAGCATTTCACTTGCATCGGATGTAGAGATACCACTCAAATGCAAGTTCATCCATACTGTCACGGCCATGCATTCTGGCCCGTTCCCAGCCCGTCCTGATGCCGCCCAAGCCCGTCCCACTGCACAAGTGTGAGCACGAGCCCTGACCCTCATCCCTATTCTCCTTGAGGACCCCCGCTCACCCCCTGCTTGCCCCTAGGCTCCCCTACACTTGGCCGACTCCCCCACTGCCACACCAACCTCCCCACCCTGAGTCCGCATCCGGCACCATGCCCAGTGCGACTCCTCTACCCTGCCCACTTGGCCCCTACAGGGCCGCTACCATTCCTGCACCCGACTCCGGCCCAACTCTGAGTCCAGTGCCGATACCATTGCCATTGCCGCTATCGCAGCCCTACACTCCTTCCTTTATTTATCTGTTATTGTTTGTTTTGACCCTCGGTCATTGCTGGCCGCTATGCGGCCAACCCCGCTCCTTATTCATGTTTGCTTCCGGACCCTTCGGCCCGAGTCCGCTTCCATTCATTCTTTCCTCCTATATATATCCTGTATACTACATTATAGTACTTTAGCTCTAGTATCGATTTGACCACGACCTCCTAAGTCCTGACCCCAGCAAGGCAACCCCAGTAAGTCTGAAATGAGGGCCAAGAGACAGCTAGGGGGCACAGTGCTCCTTTGGAGTCACTGAGGCCAAATGCCCTACCCTTGGGCCTTGTTCACGGCATCACGGCCATCACGGCCTATAGCGGCCCACAACAGCGACCTTCGGTGCTGACCCTGGACCAGTGTCTAACACATACCTATGGCCAACTAGTGCTCAAGATTTGGTTGACATAGATTGTACTCCAACCAGTACCACTGCCTCCATTGTGCCATCATCAGTGAAAGCTTCAGTGAAAGCTGGGGAATCAAACAAAATGAGTCATACCGGAATTCCAGTGGCCACCACACCTGGGCTGTCACCAATGACCCAGGAAAACATGGAGGCTCTGCAGTTGCAGATGCTGCAATCTGATTTACAAGTCCCCAAGGCACCACTCCCATCGGAGAGTTCAGCAGTCCCCACACCTGGTGCTTCCACTTCGTTGTACCAAGCCATTGAGTCTTATGAGCTTCCTGAAAAGGATCGAGAACTTAGCGAAACAGACATCAACTTGATGATCCTGTTAGCTCAATCTGAGGACTTCAACGAAGCTGACTACCGCACCTTGTTGGTAAAACATTTCAAATGTACACCACACATGTCATATCCGTACATACCCAATCCTGAACCGACTCCCGGACCCTCATCCACATCACCTCCGGAGTCCTACCCTACCTCCGTCTGTTCCAATATTCACCTTCAGACCAAACATCACTCCTCTCGCCACCCCCCTCCTATTACTCCTCCTCACTCCTCACATCACCTCCACCCTTCCATCCCTCTCCTACCTACCCTACTTCCATCCACTCCAATACTCGCCTTCAGACCTGACACCATTCCTCCTCCACTCCTCTCCCCACTCCTCTCATCACTCTCCTCCCTCTGACCCTCTTCCACCAAACCTTCAGCAAGTTACGACCTTCTGCCACTGTCCCATACCCTGTACTCAGACACCGCTCATACCTTCGCTCCAAGATCCTGTCATAGTTCCGACCTCGGACTTTGACTCCACCTCAGCTTAAGTCCATTGCATTGGTGACCTCATACTATGTAAACACCATTGCCAACATTCCTCAGACTTTCAACCCTACCTCCGCAACCTCCATAAGCTCTGCAACCTCTGAGCTCCATGGATCATACTCAGTACTTTCGCCACTTGTAATGTATCTTTTGCATTTCCCCCTCATCCTTATTTGGACTGCTGCTTCTCTCCATTCTAGCCAGTTAGTCATCATCCCCACTTCACCTCATCCTCCTGCCCCTCTGGGCTTTGCCCTCCCTATCTCCTTTCAGATGTACCACAGGTTCTAACCTATGACCTTTCAGTGCCACTCCGCTTCTGTCATCCCTTTGTTCCTGTTCAGACCCCTTTGTTCCATTTTGGACCCCCTTTGATTTCCTTGTGCTTTCATCTCCCTATTATATACAGGTGCTTGTACATACTCATTTTGGACCTTCAGTCTAAAATCGACCTGAAATGCCCCCTAGAGACTTCCTGCTCACTGCCTCTGAAATTAAGGACCAAATGGACAAACAGCAATGGCACAGTGCTCCACATGAGTTGCTGAGGCCAAGGTCCCTCCTTGCTAAGTCTCCAGTTCCCCTCCGGAATCATCCACCCTTGCCCAGTTCTAACAACACAGGGCATACTTACTTGCAAAGATGGCAGCAGCAGGGTGAAGGGCATAGACAGATTGTCTACATGTTCAACGACAAATGTGTAAATCAACTTTACTGTCCAGTTGAAATATGCCGAAAAATCACTTACCATTTTTCTTGAAATTTAAAGCCCAAGTTGGATTTTACATAAATTAATTGAATAGGATCAGTTTGCTGTTGTTTTGTTCAAATTCCTGTTTGGGTGGACATGATGTCAGACCCATCTGTACTGCAAGGTAAAGTCAGAGCTGCCATCTCCATACCTGAGTAATGTTTACTGATGCGACCAACAGCCCCAGCAGCCAAGCAACAAGAGAGAGAGATCGTTAAGCAAGCACTTAATCAGTGGGTTATGGAACTGAAAGTGGCCTTCGAGTCCCGAGTGTCTGCTATTGCCCTTGAGTTTTCAAGCTGTGGTTGCTGCTATTCTGAGTGACAGATTAGGAACCAGATTATCTATAAATTGTCGAAACCAAAGGAGACACAGAAGCCCATGCTCTCCAATGCATGGGCTCATGCCGAGGCCAAGGCACGATGCCTCAAAGGTAAGAAGGTGCTCATAGTCAAAGCAAGCATACACTTACAAATGTCCCAGAGGATAGATTGCCCAATCTTCTGTACAAGGATGAATACCTTGAGATCCTTTGTGATATTAATGAGAAGAATATCACATATGAAGATATGCAAAACCCAATGACCCCTACAGATGAATACTATGCAGACATCATCCTAGAGGGCGTCATGGTTAAAAGGCAGAATCAGGCATTGAAGCAAACAGTGATCTCACCTGAGTTGTCCATGAACTCCATTGTGACACATGCACGAAACCAAATATTAAATGCAGTATGTGTCCAATGCTAAAAAAAGTGAAAGATCAATAGGTGAAGTTAGTTCGCAAGTTGTGTGGGATAGAGATACTTCTCATGATGACTAAGAGCCAAGCCAAAGATTTGTTTGCACCAGTTTGCTGGGCAATGGACAAGGCAAAAAGTTTCTGGATGACTGTGGGATACACAGATATGGGAGTACAAGCCCGCCTCATGGAGGTACATACAACAGGCAGCTTAAACAGTAAGGGACTGAATCTGGTATACAACTACTTACAGACATGAGAACAAGCTGTGGTCAAGGGTTACAGGCAAAAAGCAGTTGACATGCACTCTGACCTGGCCTTGGCAACAAGGGAAAGTCTCCGTAAGTGACATCACCCCCAAGTCTTCCGGCATGCACTTATCAAAATGTGAAGGCAAAATAACTGGGAGGCCTGACATAAGGATGGAATGGTTGCCTCAGAATTACTTGAATATGACTATCAAATATGGTGTCGAGATTGACATGACTGATTATCCAGGTGGTAGACTGATTGAGTCAAAGTACTGTAATGCTGCTCATCTGGGGCAAGCGCTGGGTGGATGGAAGGGTGGTCGGATCAAGTGGGTTCGACTGATGGCGAGTCAAGTGGAAAAGAAGCGTGAACAACTTGAGGCGCTTATGTACATCAATGAGTGATGGTCAACAAGGCTGCAATGCTGGAAAGCAACCTTCAAAAGGAAACATCCATGTAAGCCTTCTAAAAGTTCGAGACACCATCCACAACCTGACTTCCCTATGTAAAGGTCAAGTGCTGGCATGAGAGATGGCCAAAACTCAATCGAGGGTGACACAGGATCATCTGAGAACTTACCATCCAAGTGGGCACATCTACGATACATCCCCAGCCTGATGCCACTCCGACTCCAACTCAACTAGTTAGCGCGAACCCAAAGGCAAAGGCCACTGCATAAGCCCTAGCTCTTGTTAAGTGGCAGTGTTAGAGACCAGATGCAAGACGATGGATACGTCTCCATGGTGGAGGGCTTCGGCCTCAGCAACTCAGACCAGGAGCGCTGTGCCAAGTTACATGTCTGTGCCCTAATTTACTTACTGGCAGCAAGAACTAAAAAGGGGGATTAACTCTAGTCGATTTTATCACTAGGGTGTAACCTATCTACAAGTTATGTATATATAGTTACAGCAAGGGCGGGCCCGTGAATGGCAGGACCAAGCGGAGCGGAGCTAACAGAGTTAAATGTTAGCCGACTGAATATTACCGACAAGTCGGGTTACGGGATTAGTGGAATGGCAGGCTATAACCCAGAAATGGAAAGGAGGGATAGGCCTGAAGGTAGACTTGCAGGGCAAGCAAGTCAATTGCCCAGCAGGGGTGGGAGGGCGCTAGCAGATGTCGGAGCTGTCCGGAGGCCTTTGGGGTTCCATACTTAGGGAGGTGTAGGTAATATATTGAATTGAGGGGGTGGTGACCATCGAGGGAGTCAGAGGTGATTGTGGAATATGGGGGCTCCGAGGTTAGTGACAAAGGAGTGGAGGTAGTCTGGAAGGATTGGAGGTAGTGGAGGACGATGGCCATAGATGGATATGACAGGCAGTCCAACCACTGATTGAGGGATACCAGTCCAGGTTGCAAGTGTAAAAACGCACCAGCACAAGGCTCGGAGCCATGAAGGAAGAGACAGCCAACAACCAGAGGTGTCCATGTTGATATCTAGGGAAGGGAAGAGGGTGTTGCTTGCATGTGTCCCTTGAACCAAATAGAAGGTCAATATCATGTTTGATGGATGTTGAATGGGTTGAGCTGCACAAAAAAGGCAACTCACCAGCTGTATTTCGCCTCTATTCGCTTCAAAATAAGCAACACCATGGAGCTCTTCGTTGGGTTGAGATTGCGAACCTCACTATGACATGATAAAAGACAGAAAGGCTGTCAACAGCAACCACCGGCAAAGTGGAGCAGAATAACAATGACAAGGATGTGATAAACTTAAAAACATTTAATTGGTGCTAAGTGAAAATACAAGTCAAACAAAAAAAAAAACATGCAAAACAGATGAAGAATGACTTTGGTGATGTTGACAATGTTGGTGATGATGACGATGCAACGGAAGTCGATGCTAGCAATACATTTGACTGGGGACTGTTGTGCAATGTATTGTAATTGAAAAAATCAGTCACGCGCTCCCTGAGCTTCTCAGGCCCTTGCATAAAACTTATTTCTGGCTATATTTTTCTCTCAGTGCACCAGAGCATTGGTGCAGCTACTCAGATGGTTGAACACTATCTAAGAAGGTTGGTTGACCGGCAACCCCCACATACCATTTTATATTCATTGGGTCATGAGTAGTAGGTGGGGAATATTAATGAACCCATGGAAGCAATTTCCACTTATGGCAACTAACGCCATAAACGGCCTTCTGATGGCTGCAGGACCATTCCCAAGCGGGCAGGCCATTGAGAACATTGGGGACAAGATGCCGAGGCGGCACTTCGTATATGAGGTGAGGGAAAGCGGCTTTCCTTGTTTAATTTTTCGACTGCATCGACACCATGTAACATTAGATAGTCATCCAATGCAGCGAGTTCATCACAGTGAGACAGCGGTTCCCAAGTGAGATCCCCAAGGCCCCATTTAACATGGAACCACAGGCTATCCCATGTGTCCCATGCATGGTCCAAGATCTCTTGGACCTGATATTCCCGTTCAGGATCATCACCAAAGTCATAGAATACTTGGGCAGCCCATCCTGGGAACAGTAATGTATAATCGAGTCATGAACTCCCTGGAGATTATCTAGCACTTGTTGTGCAAAAGCACCGACTCCAGGGAGGTTTGTAGGTGGTACATCTATCACCATACGTGGCATAGTTGTCAGGGACTGGTCCGGGGTTGAGAGCGTCCGGGTGTATCACCTGGCACTGAGGGCCCAGTGCAGGCAGGCATCCCTGAAGTGGGAATGGTGTGAATTATCGTTAGAAGGAAAACCAAACTACTTACCTGAAGTGGGAATGGTGAGAAGAAGACTGCTTCTCTAGTTCCCACCTCAGGTATGTTTATATACATGGTGCTTGGGTCACATGGGGGTTGCCACGTCATCCTCACGCACAGCCCCAGCCATCCGGGTATCCCCATGGGGGATCCCAAAGAGATCCGCTGCAGGTGCACATGCTGGGTGCACCAGGGGTCATCCAGAGCACCTGGGGCTGGGTGTGTCGTCTGTGGATTGTGGATGGGTCAGTAGTACATCGATCAAAGGAAAGTCGTTCATATAAATAGAAATAGAAAGAATAAAGAATGATACAGAGGAAGAATGGAAAGAGGGGGGAGTGGGAGGAGGAGGAGAGAGGAAGGGGGAGAAGGGGGTAGTGGGTGGAGTGGAGCTGGGTGGAGCTGGGTGGGGCAGGTGTGCCCTGACAATAATCCCATAAATAAGCTCAAAGGGGGTGTACCCCATTGACTTATTAACACTCGAGTTTATTGTGAACTCAGTAAGAGGCAGTTTTATGTCAGGGCATACCCCACCTGACCCTGTGCCGCATCCCACGCTGCCCTGCTCTACTCCGCTCCCCACTACCACTCCCCATCCCTCCTTCCCTTTTCTTCTTTCTCTCTATTTCTGTTCCATGGTTGACTTCTCTTTTCTCTATGTATCACTATGCATCCAATGCCCCTCCCCCAATTGCTGCACCTGCCATGTGCATCCCCACCCGCACAGCGGCACACCTCCAGGATCTCCCACAGAGACACCCAGAGTGTTGTGTGCAGTTGTTTCAATTTCTCCTTCATTTCTTTTTCAATCTGCGCTCCATTTGTATCATGTGACTGCGGAGTCGTCCTTTAACTGTTACTTCTACTTGGAATAACATTAAAGAACAACTCAGAGCGGCTATTGCTGAGTTATAATACAGAGAAGTGCGGCTGTGTGCGGAGATGATGTGGCTTCCCTCATGTGACCTTGACCGCCTGTATATAATAGCACCTGGGGTGGGAACAGAAGAAGTAGCCTTCTTCTCAATTTCCCACTTCAGACTAAGTGGTCGGGGATGCTCACCCTGCAACAGGATCACCACTATGCACAGCTGACACCTGTCCCATCAAGTCCCTCGCACCAGGACTTTGCCGCTTTTGGAGCTGTCCCTGACATTTTAGGACCCAATCACGCTGATTGGGTCTGACTGCAGCATGAATGACCTGGACGATGCTCTGGATCATCCATTCAGCTTGACCATCACCTTCGGGATGGAAGGCAGTGGTCATCTTCAGATGAATCCCCAAGAGTCTGTGTAGTTCTGTCCAGAATCTGGACATGAACTTAGTGTCCCTATCGGACACTATTGACTTTGGTAATCCGTGTAGGTGAACAACACCCTTGAGAAACTTGTATGGGAGTTCCAAGGCGTTGGTTGTTGTCTTCACAGGTATCAGATGTACCTGTGAAGTCAGGCGGCACATAACTACCCATAGGTAGTTATAGTCCAAGCTTGATGGAAATGGACTGACAAAGTCCATTGAGATCGAAGACCAAGGGGTCTCCAGTATGGGCAGCTGGTGCAGCAGCCCAGACTTCCTCTGCATCGTCCATTTGGTGGTTCAGCATTTCTTGCATGTGGAGATGTACCTCTCCACATCGTGGACCATAGTCAACCACCAGTAATAGCGGTGCAGATATTCTAGGGTTTTATGGGATCCTAGGTGCCCTAGGATCTCATGTGCATGCTTGATGGCGATACCAGTCACCCTCTCCCCCTTGTGAATGACGTCTGGGAGGACTAGACTGTTGTAGTTTGAGTTGTCTCTTTTCATTCCAATCTTCACTCTATATATAGTCATGTGACTTGGGAGTCAACTTTATCCTTTCTACTTATTGTATCAAGGCTAAAGTCTACTCTAGACTGCCCCAGGACTGCTCACCTGAGTTACTACATAGACATGGTGCACCCAACTCATTCAATCTCAAGCTAAGGCCATTGGAGACCTTGAATTTGGGGAAATGCGACAGGTTCTCCAATATACCTATAGCAGCTCAGCTTATAGGCACTCCTGAGTCGAACTGTAGTGTTAATACACAAGTAGTAACAGTTAAAGTTCGACTCTGCAGTCATGTGACTATATAAAGAGAAGAATAAAAGAGAAACAAAGGAAACAAGAGGTAGATAGACTACAACAATACCATGCCAAGCAGAATGCTTGTTGTAGCCTTTCCTCATGGAATCGAGGAAGGACTCTTCCTCAGTTACACTTCTCAAACTTCCTTCTTCAGGGACTATGTCAACAAGTGTAAGCATGCTCCTCCCTGAAGAGTCTTCAGGTGGGTCCAAGATTGCGGCTTCAATGTCACGATCTTCCGTGCCAAGTCTGGTTGTCACATGTTTCAAACAGAGGTGGTGGAAATATAACATTTCCTCCACTTCTTCAACATGACTTAAGGGGAGATCATCCCCTAATTTGTCTATGTGGATGTCTGCAGAGCCAAATTCATCATAATGTAAGTCTTCATCGCATGAAGACTCGTAGTAGCGACTCAGAGCGTCCACAACTTTATTCCTATGGCCTTCAACATAAATTATGTTGCAGTTAAAACCATAGAAAAAATTCTGCCATCTTATGTGGCGCCCTGACATGTGTTGCTTCTCTTTGAAGTACATCAGGGCCTTATGGTCTGTTACCATTGTGAATTTACGGCCACCTGTTAGCTCATCCATCCATTTGGACAGGGCTTCCAGGACTCCCAGTGCCTCAAGTTTGTATGCAAAGTGTAAATGTTGTGTCGAAGTAAACTTCTTCAACATGAATGCCACAGGGCAGGAGGTTTCCCATTTCGTGCCCTGGGCCAGAATAGCACCAACGCCTGCTGGGCAGGTGTCCGTGATAACCCAGACTTGGAATTTCGATTGTTCATCATCAGAGAGGCCCATAGGGATGCTCCAGATGATGGGTTTCAGAATCGGTGTTTTACAGGCGAGATTTTGATCTTGTCGAAACACTTCTGGTGTAAAGGGGTCCAGAAGAATGGTAAGTAGTTGGTGCATATCGTCTGTAATGGACCTGTATATGCACTAACATTTGGCATGAAGCAGGCAAGATACTCAATGAGTCCCAGGAAGTGTAGTACTTCCCAGTGATCTTCAGGTACTCACCAGTCACAAAGTTTTGTCATTTTATCAGAGTCTGCATGGACTCCATGCCCGTTGCAAGAGGGCTAGCGGCTCTCTATGCCGACTAAGCTCATGGGGCCAAACTCTCCAAAACCTCTACTCTCTCTCTAAACTTTGCTCGACTCTCGATCCTTAACTCCGTGGTGAGTCCTCCGGGATTTCCGCAAGGTCCGGGCTCAACAAATCCACTACCCACTCGTTGCAGGCTAGATTGTTGCCCTTATTCCTACTGTTGGAATTCCACACACTCACACCCACTCTAGCACGTCCTAGCACCTTAGAGAATTTTGGGAGAGGGGAGAACTTCTTTTCGAAAATCCGGTATGTACAGGATTATAAGAAACAATTATTTTTAGAAATAATAGATGGCAAATATTGGTACCATATGGCACCTGGGTACCTTATTAGGCGAAATAATAAAAAAGGGTAACAGTAACAATAAAAGAATATCAATCAATAACTGAAATGATGGCAAAATATGAAAATATAAGGAAATAAGCGATTTCTCAACGGATTTACGGAATTATGAGCCGAAATTGGAAATCAAGCCGGAGATAACTCTCACACAGCCGATAAGCATTTTTACCAATTTATTAGACGCCGTGGGAACGAGTGAGGCTGGAATTCTGGGTTGCCGCTTGAGATTCCCATGCCCGCACATGCTCGTGACCTGCTGTGCCTAACTTCTCCAACACAGAACTCCGTCAAATCTCCACCAATTGGGACGTTCTTGGTATCGTCAGAATCGTATGAATTAGGAATATTTTTAGATACCAAATTTGTACCGAGTCGTCATGTGAATGAAAGTCGTTTCCTAATCGTAGAATCGGGTATCCGAGCCGAGTCTGTGCGTGGGCGATTATCCCACCTACACCATCCACCTTACATCCTAGGATGTCCAGAACCACTGCAAACAGCTCGAACTTTTTCCTACTGATGTACAGGTGTTCAGCTTTCAGTTGGTTGTGGACCCACAAAAGCTTCTCATTGTGTTTGGAAACTGAATCGGTTCCCATAAATATATCGTCGAACCATGCATGTACAGCCCATCCGATGTTTTGTTGGAGGTCCCACAACATGGTCCTTTGAAAAGTTGAGGGACCATTGCAGTCCCCTTGCTGCAGCACGTTCAAGACATACATGCCCCATGGAGTGGCAAATGCAGTGTGTGGAACACAGTCAAGTTCCACATGTATTTGCTCATATGCATTGGCCATATTGATTTTCGATCGATATGGGTTCCTTGCCAGACTGTCCATTATGGATCTCATGTCTGGCATCAGTGTGACGTCGAGGATCATATTTGCATTACAATTCCTTGCGTCTATGATGGTTCTAAGAGAGCCATCCTTTGTTGCAAGGCAGAGCAATGGGCATGCCATGGCAGTGGAACGTCTAACCCACCACCCAGCACACTCATAATGAAGAGCCTTCTCTCGTAGCTGTTGCTCGAGAGCCTGAGGACATGTAGTGCACCACTCATTGTACTGCTTCATGGGATTGATAAGATCGATCCTATGGTTAACTTCATGGAAAGGAGGCAAGACCTCAGGTGTGGGCACCATGACATCTTCAAAACATGCCCTCCACCAATTGCGGAGGGGAATGAAACCATCATCTGTCATTGGGCGATGTTCCAGATGAGAACAATCTGACTTTGGATCAGGCCAGTGTTCTGGAAAGTTATGCATGGCATCCTGTACAGACGACACATAAGAAGATCCCCTCATAGTGGCTATACTACAAGGGTTGGGCTCCTCCCTAGAGGGGTGATCAGGCGGTGAAGTTGGCTTTGCCTTACCAAGTCACAATTGCTGTGTGCTTGGCAATTTTGATGCCCAATTATTTGAGGGCAAAGCCTTCTTAACTAGGCTTGAATTATGTCAGTGGGCCTGGCACCCAGTCGAGGTAAAGGAACATTCTGTTGGAATGTCAAATGAAAGGAGTTGGCCTCTGTGAAGGTGGATGACGTGCTTGCCAAAGTCAAGCATCACCTTATTCATGTTTAACCACGCTGCAGATGGGTCAATGGTACATTGATACAAAGAAGGTCGTCCATGTAGAATAAAGAGAAAATAAAGAAGAAGTAAAATAGGGGGAAGGTGAGGAAGCATGGATGAGGGGAGAGGAGGGAAAAAGGGGAAGGAGGTGAGGAGGGGTGGACAGCGGGGTATCGGGTCAGGTTGGGCCGGGTGGAGCCGGGTCAGGTGGGTGTGCCCTGACAGGACAGCTGTCCCATATTGGGCCTGCCAGTACACACGCCCAATCTACCCCTCGTGAGGTCCTCAGCGCCGGGCGCTATACCCAGACCCCCTCGACCCTGGATGCGTCCCTGACAGCACCTGTCAGGGCCCGGCCTCGGACTCGGAGGCTCCCTGACCTCAACCCCCATCTGACCTGTCCTCACACTATGTGGGGCATGAGATGTATAGTAAAAGAAAGGGAATATATACACTTGCCTATGCGGGGCATGAGATGAGAAGAAGGGTAAAGGTCTCATCTCCCCACATGGTTGCTATATAAAGGAATGGGTCACATGCCCACAACTATACAGCTCCTAGAGTTGTGTAGTGTGACCCGGAGGGAACATCCAGGTGGCAGTGCCCAGTAAGCGTGGGAACATTCTGGGCGAGCTGCTCGCTCAGAAAGTTCCCACGCTATCCTGTGTGCGCGGATACACAACACAGAATGGCAACAACAAGGCAACAATGAAGGAATGGAAGGAAGGGATTGGTTGGGGAGTCTGGGGCACCCTAGGGCAGGGTGCTGAACCCTGACAGCACCCTTGCGAAAGCGAGGTTCTCCTGCTACAGGTGACAGCTCTGCCTGGCACATAAGGGGTTGTGCTGGCATTACTTTCACCTGTTTCCCAGTCTTATTGACTGGGGGTTTTGTCCCCTTGCTAGTTGCAAGGGTCTTTTGCTTGCTGGACTGGCAAGTAGAATTTGATGAAAAATGAACACTCACTTGTTTTCCACATAAAATTGTGGTTCCTAGCGATGCCAGGGATCAATGCAATATCAAACAAAAAGTACTCAAAAAACTGTAAGGTGGGTGTCCTAGAACCCAGCTGTGAGTATCAAATATGTATGATTCACAGTGGGTAGGACGATAGTGACCTCCCTGGGTCACGTGACCCTTACATACATGGACTGTGACCTGACAGATGGCGAGGGGAATGAACAGGTTTATTCAGAAAGCAATGCTCTCACAGCCATCATTTGTCATGCTTCTCCATACTACCATCACCTTCACATTCATATCCACTTCTCCAAATGGGATGAAACCAAGTACGAAAAGCTAGGTGAGCCCCCCTATCTTGAATATGCCCTGTGGGTTCAACTGCATTGATAGGCAATTTTCTCCTGAGTAACTTCAAATCCACTCAGAGGATCATTGCCGACAGCAAGAAAGAGCTTGAGGATATGAAGCAATTGTCCCCAGACTTCGAACCTGACCGCGACTGTCCACAGTGGCTAGCTGAGGAACGAGATTATATCTTATCACTTCAATCCGAACCCACTGACGAGAAAGTCAAGATCAATTATTTGGAAGCTGTTGAGTATCTTGAACATGCCAAGTGCTTCATATTACTTGCTAAGTTAACTGCTAAGCTTATACAACTTTCTATTCTAGAGCAACAATGTATTATTGGCAAGTTTCCACCTCCCCAGGATCACTTGGTCAAATCGGGCAGCACCAAGCTCAAGCAAATGAATCCCTCGAAGCTGCTCGTTCAGCTGTCAAGGCCATTGAGGCCAGATCATCGCTCACTCTCCCCTGGACCCCGATTCCTCCCAGTGTCTTGAAGCGATAGCTCTTCATCAACACCGAGACTACCACTGGCTTTTAGATGAGCTTGAGCAGCAACATCACCTTGAGCTTGAGAAAATCAGTTTGCCAAAAACAGGTGAGTGTCGCATTCCATTTTTCTTAAACAAAAAAAAACACAACTACTACTCATGTTCACCATAAACTACAAGGCCCGGCAGCAGATATCCGCACTGGTCGCCAAGTGAGGCAAGTCACTGCAGTCAATGCTCCAGAAGTATAACACCCTGGTTGCCACAATGAATCCCCAAAGCTGTTGCTTACCTGGACTCAAGTTACTGACCTCAACTTCCTCTCTGACATCGTCATTTTATGGGGCCGTGAAGACATGCGGGAGAAACTGTGGTTTAAACGTCATTTTTATGATGCAACGCATGCCTGGTACAAACTTCAACGTGCTCGTGAGGAGATTGAGATCATCGGGCTGGAAGCTCATTGGATATGGGCTTCCATACACCAGGAGGAAGCTCACCTGGATCAGGTCATCAAGGACACTCAGCTCACCGACCCTGAGCTATCAAAATATATATCGCTTATTTTCGAGAGCCAACTCAACGTGAACCTACACTTGCATAGCAAGCTAGTACTTCTGGAGAAGCAAGGTGGCACCAGGATGCTCCTTGTAGCAATGGGCAATGTGGGAAGACACAATGCCAGTGAAGGAGCAGACCTGGCTGGTGGTTCCATTTCTGACTGTGAGTGCAATCAATTATCTCTATTTGTGTGTCATGGTCTCTTAGTGTTACTGAATGATGCCCTGGAGGAATCCCAGGAGACAGTGGCAGACACAGCACAGGAATTGAATGCTGCTGTTGACTGGGAGGACGAGAACAAAGATGTTGATGGTGATAACCCTAACTATCACCATGTCATTGGAAGAATTGTGAACACATTGGAGAATATGGATTTAGAGGCTATGTAATCGCTAGTTTATCAAGCCTTGACAGCAATGGCAACAATGAGACATGGCATTGACAGTAGGGAAAATGAGTAAAAATACAAGTCAAACAAAAAAAAAAAAACATGCAAAACAGATGAAGAATGACTTTGGTGATGTTGACGACGTAGGCGACAATGATGATGCAATGGAAGTCAATGCTGGCAATACATTTGACTGGGGACCGTTGCGCAATGTATTGTAATTGAAAAAATCAGTCACAAGCTCCCAGAGCTTCTCAGGCCCTTGCATAAAACTTATTTCTGGCTATATTTTTCTCTCAGTGCACCAGAGCATTGGTGCAGCTACTCAGACAGTTGAACACTATCTAAGAAGGTTGGTTGACCAGCAACCCCCACATACTGTTTTATATTCATTGGGTCACAAGTAGTAGGTGATATTCCCACACATGAAAATTGCTCCCTCTTATCTCCCGCCATCATGTCTGATCCAATGAAGACTACCAAGGTCACAGGCCAAGCCCACGCCCCTCTAATGATGCCATGGATGCTGATGTGTCCATGCCATCACTTGACTCACCTCATCAGCCGTTAACACCTGGCATTGACGAGCTAGACTCAGTACTCCCCCTGGATTTGCAACCAGCGGACCCAGTGCCTATTCCAGCCATATCAGGCCAGTCATCCCCTGCCACAGGTGAGTTTACTCAGTCCCAAGTTGACTATTCGTCAAACAAGCCCCAATACATGGGGCAAAATTACGCCCCAGAAATGATGGCACCTATGCAGGCACCACCATACCCAATGTTTGCCCCAGGCATGTGGGGGTATAATCCCCACATGCAGCAAGAGCCAGTGAGACCACCCATTGCAGCCTCGAATGACTCAATACTAGGTGACCTTCTTAAGGAAGCAAGTCAACGAGTCCACCTTTTGGAAGGCAAACTCTCCCGATCTCGCAACAAGGCCAATAACCTCAGAAATGAGAATAAGGAACTACGGGAGAATTTCCACAGGCTCGAGATTGAGAAATTCTTCCTGTCACCAATCATGGCTCTGAGACAAGTGCAACAACCTTGAAAAACAGATCAATCACTTGGAAAAGGAAGCTAATGTCTTCAAGGGCTCTCACCCTCATAAGATCCCTCACATGTCGAGGGTAAGTACACCACCCATACTGCCTCAACACAGCCAGCATAGGGCACCAGTGGTCCCTATGTGTTACAAGGATGGAGAGAACTTCTCCCTTCTCGAACCATTCTTGTAGTTGGAAGACGATCACAAGATCTCATTTGTACCTTAATGGGATGTGTAATCGATGGGAGGTCCCAGTCATGCATGAGAGTAGATGATCAAATCCCCATTGATCGTGGTTCACAATGGAATGAGTTATTAAGGGTTCGATTACATGTAGTTGGAGACACCAGGGTAGATAGGTTGCCCACAGGTACTTGGTGCTCCTCAGTGGAGTGTACCATGTGCACAGTCACAACTTGTACATTATGTGAGGATCCCATATCATTGCTATCAGTGACTTGGCATCTGTAGTACGAATGTACTGGTAGCAGGTTATAATCATGAGAGCCCAGTAAAGAAGGGCTAGTGGGGCCTTCGGTAACTTGGCATTCCCAAAGGGAATGTACTGTTGGCAGTGAGGTACGATGCGCCTAGCTTAGTCCCAGAGGGGTATTCATGGTTCACTGAGGCGAATCGCTCTGCCGCTGCTGGGACCTGGAGAAACGTCCCTATCCCAGGCACGTTCTTCCAAGGTGACTTCCATTTTGGTGTCACTATCAGTGGCCAAAACTGGCCTGTGGGCCTGTGTCGGACAGTCGTAACCATTGCCAAAAGCGGTGGAATGACTGGGTTCACCCATTCTTGAACTTGATTGAAGGGTTCAAGTTCATGGTGGACTTGAAATGGCTCAACCATGAAATGAGGAATGGGTTTGACAGCGCTTCGCTGGAGGCTCGTCAACTTCATGGTCAATTCTTTGACATTAAGTTCATGAATGGACAGAACATGTCCACCACTGAACTCAATGGACGTTTCGGGGATTGTCCCCGAAACTTCAAAAATACTATTGAGGCAGGGAAGAAGTATCTTCTTTGCTGCCTCTGGAAGCACTACTGCTCAGAAGCAGCACAAATTATGAAGGCAACTGGCGCCACTGCATACAACCTTTCCAGGTTGCAAGTAAGTGAACCTAGTTCTGCCATTTTGGGGCCCCCCAGGTTCCACCTCCTCACTACACAACAGTGGATAATAATCCACCGTTGCCATATTTGCAGGTTATAGAACCCACCCCGCCCCATAACCCTGTTCCCCACACTGAGGGAATATTGGTGGACAATGGTGTTGTGGAAGAGGCCCCAAGGCCGAGATGTTTCCTGGAGGCCCAACGGATGCAGGCCCCCTCTGCTGAGAATGCAGTGGCAAGCCCATCTAGAGGGCCCCAGGCTAGTGGGTCCATGCCCACCTGAAAGGGCAAAGCCAAGAAGGACTGATGTCCCCTTGGCTTGGTAACCCCTGCTCACACTTGATGAGTGGGATGGGGTATTTCTTGTCCAATGAGCAGGAAAGGTCTAACAACCTTGGCTGCCTAGCTTAACTTCCTCAAGAGCATTGAAGGTCTGACCACCTTCATCACCTCCTATTCTTGTTGCAGGAGGCTGGGGTTTAACCACCTCTGCCCAATTATTCTTGTTTGATTGAGTAACTGGGGCCTACCACCCTGGCTACCACCCTTCTCCTTACTGAGCATCTCAGGTCTAACCACCTGTGAGGCTTGCGACTCCGATGCAGAGTGAATTGAAATCTAACCACCTCTGTCACCTGTGCCTTGGCATCCACAAAGAGAAACTGGGGTCTGACCACCTCTGTTTCCTTGTGTCAATTAATAATTTCCTTCTTGTCGAATGCACATTTGTCACGTATCTTGTTGATTCTTGTATATCTTTATTTCTTGTTAATAATACAATTTTTTGATTCTCATTTGCGATATTAAATATCGCAAGGGAGGAGAGTGTAAGGACTTACAATGTGTACCCACACATTGTCTGTCCTTTGCATACTGTTAGAACGGGTGGATTCGGACGACTCCGGAGTGGAATCGGAGACTTAGCGTGGAGGGACCTTGGCCTCAGCGACTCAGGTGGAGCGCTGTGCCATTGCTGTTTGTCCATTTGGTCCTTAATTTCACAGTAGGTGAGCAGGAAGTCTCTAGGGGGCATTTCAGGTCGATTTCGGACTGAGGTTACAAGTTACTAGGTACATTGTATATAAGGAGGGGTCTGGAATCAAAAGGAACAAGGGTAGGACGAAAGGAGACAAAGGGAGATGGAAAGAGGAACAACACCGAGGGTCAAGTGTTTGACTCAATGGTGTTTCCCCAAGGAGGAATGAAGGGCCAAGGCCCAAGGAGGAAGGAAGGAGGTTGGGAGTGGGGAATGGCTAGCTGACTGAATAGAAAGGAAGCAGCAGCCCAAATAGGAACGAGGGAGAATAGCGGAATTGAAATGGACAATGCAATAGTTGCAAGGTCCGGAGTAAGTCCGGAAAGTCCGAACTCGGAGGTTAAACTCCGGAATATTGGCAAACGTAATTAAATGGAATGAGCTAACCAATACAATGGGTATAAGCGGAGGTGGGGTCAAAGTCCGAGGTCGGAGCTAAGACCAGAGGTTCCGGAGACGGAGATGCGAACGGGATTCCGGAGCGGAGGTCCGGAGTTGGGAGCATAGGTTTTGCGTACTCGTCTGGAAGGTGTCGAGGTTGGGGTCGGACCCGGAATGTTCCGGAGTCGGACCGAAGGTGGTGTTGGAGCCGGAGGTGGGATAACCTCTTGGGAGTCGGCAAGGAGAAGGTGACGGAAGGGAAGTAGGGCTCCGGAAGTCGGAGTTCGGAGTTCCAGGAGCCCGGAGCGGAGGTCGGGATTGTATGGATATGACACATACTTCGCATCAAGTGTGACTGCAGTCACACTTCAGTACCATAGTTAACCTGTATAATATAAACCCACATTACATCATGTAGATACAGGTATATAAGATGCACAGGTAGGAGGAAAGGCCCCTCAGCCTTTACTCCCCATTAACAATACAGCTCATTAAAGTGTACTTGTGTGATGGACCGGGAGTGTGAGGCACTTATAACCATGCGCTTCCACCTTGTTTCTCAATGGCCATGCACAGCCATCCTGCTCCCACATTCTTTGTTTGTTTTCCTCCTTTCTTAAAGCTGCCCACAATCTCTGAGAGATCTGGCAACTTATCCCCATTCATTTCTTCATACTTAAATACCAGTTGTACCAGTTGTAAACGACCTTGTACCTCAGTTCAAAAATCAACTAGGGTTACCCCCTCTGTCCTGTGTCTGCCTTAGTCACACTGCCCACCTCCTGAAATATTGGGGGCACATCAAGAATGAGGTGCAATGCTCATGTATGAGTTGTTGAAGCCAAAACCCTGCTTTTCCATGACTGACAACTCCTGCCCTTAATGGGCTGTTATGCTGAGACAGTGAACCATGGTAACATCTTCCCATGCCCCTGACACAGGCCCAATGTGGGACAGTAGTCCCTGGCCACCTAGACTGGAGTGGGAATTGTGAGAAGAAGGCTGCTTCTTTGGTTCCCACCTGTTATGGATACGGAGTCTCCAACGACCATATCCATTGCATGGTCAAAGACTTCCCCTTTCTATCGTTCCTCCCCTCTTTCTCCCTTCCGTCCTCTATCCTGATACCCTATCCTCCTTACCCGTTCTACCCCTTTCCCCCCCTCGTGCAAAGCTTTCCCCATTGGGGTTTTGGTGCTGGCCGAGGTTATTTGTGTTTCGCGGGATTTCCCGCGACCTTACCATTTGTAGATAATCACGCATCTTGTACGGAAACTGCCGAAGGCAGTTCCCGCTAACTAACAACTGCTCTACAACTGTCTCGTGTATCGTCTTCTGTAACAACCCTCCCTGTGACTCAACTGAACCCGTGTGACTGTACAACTCTCAATATGTCTTATAAGTCTGGTTATATCGAGTCCTCTAACGGCCCTTGCCGCGAGAACTCGAGGTCGAGAGTCGAAGACTCTTGACAGGTGTATCGTCCTATTGAATCTGTACCCTATGGGTCCTCGTCACTCCGCTCTCCCCCCAGTACTCGACATACGACGTCACATCATGATCATGGAGATCGTGAATACCTTGAGGCCCACCTTCCCGTGATGCCGGCACATTCGCTATGTGAACACCAAGTCGCCGCCCATCCACCATCTGTTCCCTCCTTCGACAGTCATCATGTTTCCCCGCCAACGGTACGTTCCCTTTGGGAACGCCAAGTCACCGAAGGCCCTACTAGTCAGTCCTCATTGCACGCTTATGACACCAACCCGCTACCGGTACGTTCGCACTGCAAACGCCAAGTACCCGATGGCAACTATACGAAGTTCTCACCCATCTCACAAGTCGCGACCTCGCACACAGTACGCTCCATTGAGGAGCGCCAAGTACCCATGGCTGACCCGTCCGTCCTGGCATCTCCGACTACCTACCATCAATCCCTTAATAGCTCACTACATCACCAATCGCGATCGATGGGAATTCGATCGTCCACCCCCAGACAAGACTGGGATCACTCATCGATTACATATCCCATTATGGTACAGACCAGATATGACCTCACTCATCCCACTATAAGAATGGATCGAGGAATGGGGAATTTTCCCCCCATCCCTGTAACACCACCCAGGCTGTGTTTATATACATGTGGCTGGAGTCACATGGAGGGTGCCACATCATCTTTGCACACAGCTGAACCCATCCAGGTGTCACCATGAGAGATCCTGAGAGGCATCCACTGTGGGAGAGGGTCACCCAGTATTATGGAAATGGGCCTAGACTCCTATGGACCACGCACACAGGTAAGACATTTTCTTACTTCTCTCCACTTTGTTCTTTGCCAAACCCCACACCAAGCTTTCCAACTGGGTTTTGGTGCTGGCTGGGGGATTTGTTGAGTTTCAAGGGACTTCCCTTGATGTCAGGGCACACCCGCCTGACCCCACTTCACCCGGTTCGACCCCACCC